CTGAAAAGCTAGAAGACTGTAGTTTTAAGAGGATGTTCCCCGTCCAAGTAAGTCTCAACGAGCTCAGACCCAGGCATCGGGTATGCATGGTACGCAAGTGTGGGCCTGTGAAATATTTTTCCCAGTAAGTTGCTAACTCAAGAGCCAGGAAAGCTAGAAAGATGAAATCTTAAGGGGGATGCTTCGTGCCAGATCTGGCGGCCAGTCGTAATTTGTTTAGCTAGAAGCATTTGCCAAAAAAACCGATGTCGGTATCGACAAAAACTGCTGGGAACTATGCAAAAAACGCATCTTCGCACGGGCAGCCCGTACGTTTGCCAATTATTCATGCCTTCCGAAGGATCGAGCAGCTTGCACAATCAACTATTTTGTTGCTTTTTTGGAGCGTTAATTTTGCACAAGGTTGCTGCTGCTCTACAAGGTTCAGTGCTAGGATTATATACGCCAATACATTTTAACTTTAGTGCGACTGTTCTTCTGATGGTATATTGCACAAAAAACGTACAAACAGAAGCGGTGAGCCACTCGCGAAACTAGCAAGAACCGAGTCAGTGAACCATAGCGCCATATTAGTTCAGTGAGGCAGCATGCTAACACGCGAGCAGTTATATCCCGCTTACAACGCCTTTGTTGTTGGTGCGCTCAAAAATGGCTTGAAACTAAAGTATAGCAATTTCTTGCGTAATGTTTACCATTATCAGTCGGCAAGTGGCGCTCGAGATCATCTCTTGCAGCAAAATGTTTTGCTGAATCTCTTTCCTTCGCTGTTAGCAGCACTTGTCCACCAGTCTGTTTATCATAGGAAGTTTCTGGAATGGCTTCATGGCTAATGAATGCGTTACTGTTTTCCATTGCTGATGCATTCCTGGATAGATGCCTGCGTTGGGAAGCTGACTTTTCTAGTTCTTTCAATTGCCTCAGTATATTTTGCCGTTTCTTTAACAGTTCTTCTTGCTGTTTTTGCATTATAAACTGAAAAAAAGTTTTTATACGTTTCTGCACATACTCAAATGCAAAAACGCATACTGTGATTACCCATGTGTGCATGTATGTATGCTCGTGTGTGTGTGTATATGTGTATGTGTGTGTTTGTCCGGGCATTTCAACTCGGCAACCACGTAAAGTTCCGGCGCTAAAGTTTTACCAGCGGGTTCACCGGCCAAGTGCCATCCTAGGACCACGGTACCAATCCTCACGCAAGTCCAGGCTTTGCATGCGAGTATGTGAGAGTCTTGACGTGAAAATCCTTAAATCGAGAACTAGAAAAGTTGGAGGTTGAAATTTTCAAGGGGTGTTCACTGTCCATGTATTTCAAATTAAGCTCCCAGGTGTGCGTGGTTCTCGCTCTTTGGAGGGAAAATTTGGAGTCAGAAAAATGGAAAGCTGAAATTTTGGGCGATATTCCCTGTCTCCATAGACTTCAAGGGTTTCAAATTCAGCTCCCAGCAGTATTTGGTTCTCACGCACAACCCCGTGAAAGTTTTTGGTGGGAAGGATCGCTAACTCGGAAACCAGAAAAGCAGAGGGGGGGGGGTGAAATTTTAAGGGATATTCTCAGCCCCTCTAAAAGTTAAACGTATCAAATTCACCCCCAGGTATGAGTGGTTCTCACGTACGAACCTGCGAAATTTTTTTGGGTGGAAAGTTGCTAACTCAGGAACCAGAAAAGTTGGAAAGCTGAAATTTTAACGGAATGTTCTCTGCCCAAGTACCGCGCAGCTGCACAATTAGTTTCCCGAAGTTCGTGGACCAGTATGTCACAATTTCTAGCTACTGGGTTGCCGAGTGATCTCATTACAGCCCGAAATACTGCAAAAACGCATGATCACACGAGCCCGCCTGGTGTGCGTCGCCAATGATTTTTTTGTTGTTTGGTGCACCACACATTACTTTTTGAATTGAAAAAACATGAATTTGGCTGGTTCAAAGAAGCAAATGCGTAGAATAATAGGACCACCCAGACAATCACAGTATGGGTATTACATGTTATTGATGTTACTGGGATGCTTTCACACATCAGATGCAGTTATGCAGGCCTTTCAACGTTAGGCATCCTGCATACCGCTTATGTAGCGGAGGATTTGATTACTCGTATAGCCACGAAGAAGATTCCTCAAATCCTGTAAAGCAGTTTTGCACTTGCTTAAAGTCATAAAGATTAGTCTCGTTTCTTACAATAAGTAAGCCATGGTTAACTTCAGTAAATAATTCTCTGCAGCCTGATATAAAGCATATTTTCTTAGACTGAAGACTGCTAATTACGTACCGCTGCGCCAGCACGCTGATCGAGCATTGCTTGCTGATAGCGACGCTGCTGATCTAGATATCTCAGTTGTTTGTCGCCGTAATCCACTAAATCTTGTCGGTGCTTTTGCAGATCCATATAATACTGGTTATTTCGTGCCTCATTCAGCGAATCAATATCGCCCTCAAGCAATTTTCGAAATCTTTCAAAAAATAGAAGAGTTAACAAAAGCGAGTGAAATTGAATTACCCAATTCCGAAGTGCTCTATCAAAAAATTATCAAAAGTAGCTTATCCACCTCCCTAACCGTCATCACGATTTTGAAAACTAAGCGAAATAGCAACGCGCACCAGTGCACTGGTGCGGTCATGCGTTTTGTGCAGTTCTGCACAGCAGACGTTTGCTATTAAAAATATTTTGTTGCTTTACCACTTGATATGTGTAAAAATCACCGGAATAGCCTGATCAGCCTAAAAATGTTCATGTGCCCGTATGCAAGATCTAGGCATGCACGGAGGCTGAATCTAAAATTTTCGGAATCGTACACAGACATGAAATATTCTTTTGAAATTTCAATTTTTTTTCTTATCTAGTTGAAGAATTAGAAAATCTCTCCCGAAATACTAACGTACCCGAACGATATGACATAAAGTGCTTAAGTGTAAAGTCTCAAATTTCTTTCGATCTATATGGGCACGCAGCATCCTTTTGAAATTTTAGCCTCCTAACTTTTCTGGTTTATGAGTTAGTAGTTTTTTCTTTAAAAACTTTCAGTGACTGCCCATGAGACTTACAAAAAGCTGAATTCGAAATGTTTAGTTTACATGTAGGTGCAGAACGTCTTCCTAAAATTTGAGGTTCCAAACTTTTCTGGCTCTTAAGTTGAAAACCTAGGACAAAAAGCACCTAGGTACACTCACTCACATACACACACAAACACACACGTGGACAAGGCCGTGCCAATTATGCGTTTTTTGCAATTGTTGCAGCAGAGAACTCATAAAAGAACCGGAAAAGTAGGTCATACACATTAATCTTTGATTACGATTATAGCTGCAAAGTGGGGAAGTACATTGCTCTTATACAAAACTTTAAATTTTGTGTACTTGCAAATCCTAGATTTACATTTCCAGCAGCAAGAGGACCCAGCATTTTGCTCAAGCCATTCATAGCAATAGGTTGATATTCGGCATTGACTGATGTGCCTGCAACTGGCTAATTGATTGAAATACGTGGTCAAAACTTCGGGTAGTTGCACACTGTGAAAAGAGCAATATTTGGAAGCAGCACGAGTGGAAAGCATATTCCAGCAGTTCTGTTTTTCGGGGGATGCTTATAAATAGGTTGAAGACGGTCTTTAATCATTGGCTTATGCCACTGCAAATTTACGACAAAACGATTGAACGAATTGCAGAGTCTGGAACTGTAGTAACAGAAACTGTCCTTGCAGAATCGAATTTTCGATTTTTAATACGACAGCAGCCATAGCTAGCAACGCACTATTCTCGCCCAGCGTTTTATAATGTTTCGAGATTATAAGTAAACAAATTGCAGATAGGTTTGTTATTATACATCAATTTTAACTTCCTGTCCATTAGTACTAAACGCAACTTACAATCTGCTAGCACTAGCAGGTAACGTTGCTTTCAGGCTGAAGGTCGAGGGCTTGATTCCACCAATTGAGCGACCAGTTTGTCTACCACTGGCTGCTTTGTTTTGATAGTACATTGAAACTGGGCATCAAAACTTCCATCAACCCGTTTTCAAACCGCTCATAGACTCGGCTCACTCCTCATTATTTCCATTCCTTGCTAACAGTAAAGAGCGGAAAGTTTGGATTAAACTTTAATGAAATAACATTATTTAGAAGGTTTGTCCTTTCAATTTAAAATTGTAGTGACTCTTCCTCTAAGTCTCGATGACGATTAAAATTTAGTAATTTTATGAGCAAAATGTACCGGGCTGAGCTGTTTGAGAAGCAACGGTGACGCTGAATGGGTTTGCTGGTCGAGTAGAATATGGCACATTGACATTGGGATACAGTGGGCTCATAGAGGGTTGATATGAGAAACCTGTGTTTGGATATGGCTGAGTCATCTGTGGTGAAATGGGAGGGATATTTGATGAATACATTCCGGGTGGCGCCGGTCCGTATAGAGCTGGCGGTGGATATTGTGGAGCTAAAACGAGGTAAACCATTAAATTTCATAAAACCTTGGTGTTTTTAAATAGAATAATCTGATAGGCGTAACAGCTTTTAATAATAATCTTGCTGAAGGGTGGACTGTTA